GGGCACAGAGAATGTTTGCCAAGTGGATATACTCCTAAATGCGTCTCAGCTCTTTCTGTAGTTAAAGCTTAAGAAACTCGGGGTGTGGGAGAAAACTCTGATCACGCTGGTGAGCAAAAACGCCGTAGCCGTTGGGGCGTAGGTTTCTTGCAGTCCGACCAGTTTTACTCAGCGTTTGTTTCCGCGACCTTCGCTTCTAGGTCTTAACATGAGAAAGAGTCGGGCATAGAGAATGTCTACCGGATAGATATGCTCTTATCAGCCCCCGAATGAGGCCTGACCCCCTGCCGTTGCTGGGGTCGAGTGTCACTAAAGATCAAGGAGTTGATAGTGAAACTAATAAGAGAAAGCATGCGTAAATTAAGGGTAAAAGCGATGTAGCTATTCGATGTTCTAGGCGTTGATGAAGACTTCGTCGTTGATGGCCCTGAGCTTGTAGGTGCCTGGTTGGAGCACCTCCACGACGACGTATGGTCCCTCCCATGGTAGAGAGAGCTTGTGGTGGTTCTTGTTGCTCTGGACGAGGTGGAGCACCAGGTCCCCGACATTAAACGCCCGACCCCACACTCGTCGGCTATGGTACCGGCATAATGCTTGCTGGTACTTGGCCGAGCGGAGGAGGACAATGTCACGTGCTTCATCTAGCTGGTCCATGGCATCCTCGAGGGACGCCTTGGCTCCCTGTTCATCGTACACCCTGACCCTTGGTGCTCCATAGTCGAGGTCGATCAGGAGGATAGCCTCGGAACCATAGACCATGAAGAATGACATGTAGCCGGTGGCCCGGCTTGGGGTCTTCCTCAGACTCCAGAGCACCGCGGGAAGTTCCATGATCCATCGTCCACCAAACTTGTTCAACCGGTTGAAGATCCTAGGCTTGAGGCCTTGTAGGACCATGCCGTTCACGCGCTCGACTTGCCCGTTCGTGCGGGGGTGCGCCACGGCGGCCAAATCGACATGGATGTGGTATTCATCGTAGAATCGTAGGAACTTCTTTCCAGTGAACTACGTGCCACTGTTCGTGATAATGGAGTTCGGGACTCCAAAGCGATGAACGATGTCAAGGAAGAACAGCACGGCTTGCTTGGACTTGATCGCGGAGATCGGTCGAGCCTCTATCCACTTTGTAAACTTGTCTACGGTGACAAGCAAGTGCGTATAGCCCCCGGGCGCCCTCTTGAGAGGTTCGACCAGATCAAGCCCCCAGACCGTGAACGGCCACGTGATGGAGATCATTTAGAGCGCTTGGGCCGGCAGGTGGGTCTGTCGAGCGTAGTATTGACACCCTTCACAGGTGCGCACAATCTGTTCAGTGTCGGCTACTGTGGTTGGCCAGTAGAAGCCTTGTCGGAATGCGTTTCTGACCAGAGTCCTATGCGCGGCATGGTGCCTGTAGCCCCCACCATGGATATCACTCAGCAACTGCTTCCCTTGTTCGATAGGGATGCAACGCTGCAGGATCCCAGTGTGGCTTCGCCTATAGAGCTCGCCCTCAATAAGGACAAAGGACTTGGCGCGACGCGCAAGCCGTCGAGCCTCCATTTTGTTCGTCGATAGCGCCTCACGGAGGTGGTAGTCGAGGTAGGGCGTCCTCCAGTCGGCTAGAGGGTCAGGCTCTGTCGCTGGATCCTCGTCAAGCTCCATGACTTCAGGGTCGGATGGAGCCACCGACTGGTTAGCCCCCAAGCCCAGGGTAGGCGGACCATCACCAGTTTGTTCCAGCTCCTCATAGCGGACCGAGGGCTTGTACTGATCTCGCGTAGTGTGCAAATCTCGCGATGGGCCTGACGATCCTCGGGTGTCGCGAGCCCCGGAAGCCCCCGGAGCAAGGCCGCCGTAGCAACGATGTTCTGGCTTGTCCAGGTGACGTCTGGGAGGGCTTCATCCTCCCTGAAGATCCTCTGGTTCACATCATGGGCCACGGCGTGCGCACGCCCACCGTCTCCATGGCGCTTGATCTCTTGTTCGAGCTCCGCGCATTCCTGCTCGAGCTAGAGTCGTGTTTCCTCGAGCTCTTGGTGCCGGGCCTTTAACTGCTCTACCCGCAGGTGAGGTGGGGCCCCTGCATCCCCCTCGATCTCATCATCGACGCTATTCATTGGGGTAGCCTCTCCCTCGTGGATGCTTTTGATGTACCCCTCGGGGATACCTGCTATGAAACATTCACGAGAGGGGTGATGGCTCCCCCTACTGGAGTCAGAGTTGGAGGGCGACTCCGATTCTCCTGCGAGGAGGTCGTGGAAAGATTCCGCAACATATTCGATCAACCCCACGAACTCATCGTTCATGGGGGATGGGAGCGTGCATTGCGCCACAAGGTGGCCAACAGTCTCGACGGCGTTGTACAGACCGAACGGGAGTGCTGTCGGGGTGCTCCGGATGAGGTATTTCGGGGAAAGCGGCTCTCCTCCGGCAAGCTACGTCATGACGTTGGCGAACGAGAAGGTGGGGCGGCCTAGGTCCTCCCAGGACGGTCGGGGTCCTAGGAAGGCGTCGAGCTGGCGTTCTAGCCTCCCGTAATTGAAGCCGAGGAGCTGGTCGCTCCCGGGGGCGCGGGCCTCTGGTGCATACAGCTGCAGCTCCCCAAGCGCCTCGGTGATCGCATCGAGGCCGACGAAGTGGAGAGGTTGGACGGTGACGGGAGCCTGCACCAACTCTCTCCCCGTCGTGACGATGAAGTCCAGGTTCCCGAAGCGCACGTGCGCGCCCGGGACCTAGCTGGCGTCGTGACTACCCATCCGAGGACTGATGTGGACGTCGAGACCCGCAAAAATCCCCTACCTGGCGCGCCAACTGTCGGTGTCTTCGGACCACCGACAAGTAAATTTGTATTTGCGCGTCTGGCTCGGATGGTGTGCTCGGAGGACACAAGAGTTTATACTAGTTCGAGCGAAACGTCCCTACGTCCAGTTTGCTGCTGCTCGTGTTACCGGTACTTGGTCTGCAGTAGGGGTTATAAACAGGCGAGAGAGGGAAAGGATTCCAAGTCTCTGGTGAAAGGAATGAACGAGTGCTGAGAGCTCGATCGCTGCTCAGCCGTGTGCTCGTGTCGTGCCCTTCATGGGGCGCCCTGCTTCCCCTTTCATAGGCGAAGGAAAAGCGCAGGTTTCAACGGAGAAAAATGAGAAGAACGAGAGAGAAGAAGAAGGTTTATAGGATCATCGGGTCCTTCTTCTCCTTTATGCGGGTCCCGTCGATCCGGTAGATGTCAATAGGGGCGGCTCCACTTCGCGGCCCTGTCCGTCACTGGCGCCATGCGCAGGCGTCATCTGCCGGTCATGGCGTTCCATCCCATCCCGGCGGACGTCGTGGTGAACTGTCGCGCCTGTCAGCGTTCGTACGTGGATTAGGCAGAACAGCACCGGTATGCCCGACGCTGTTCTTGATGTGAATCCTCAGGTATGGCCCGTCATGGCCTCGGGTTACATCGAGTCGTGTCCGTCTCTTCCCTGGTGTCAGAGTTTTGACCCAGGCCCATACGCCTGGACCTGGAGTGGTTGGCGGCGATATGGATCCCCGGCGGGTGAGACGGAGCCCGCGACCCTTGTGGGTCGGGCGAGACGGAGCCCGCGGCCTTGGGCGAGACCCCCGTGGCCTCGGGGTCGGGCGAGACGAAAACTGCGTCCTTAGGGTCGGGCGAGACGGAGCCCACGGCCTCGGGGTCGGGCGAGGCAGAGCCCGCGGCCTTGGGCAAGACCCCCGCAGCCTCGGGGTCGGGCGAGACGGAAACTGCGTCCTACACTGACATTTTTCTTTTTCTTTTTGAAAATGTCCTATACTGAACACAGTGTACCAGCAGGAATTGATGACGACAAACGACCACAACGTCTTGTTGGTGGTGGCACATGATAAGAGCATCTTCAAGAGACATGACACTTTATCACCAAATTTAAAAATTAAAACAAAAAAATTAAAACCACCCTTCTTGCTCTCTGTTAACGGAGAGGCTACATCGCTCTCTGAATTCATATATGTTATAAGGGATATTTGAATCACCTAAACTAAATTTTAGTTGTGGTTTTGGATAAAATAGAATGACTAAATATGAACTAATCATGGACTACTAATAAGAACTAAAAGAGGCTAATTGATGGCTAGAACTCATTAGACTTTTTTTATTAGTCTATGTGCCTATTATCTCATGACCGACTAAACTTTAGTCTGGTGATCCAAACTCGACCTTAGTTCTCTCGTGACTTTTTTTCACACAAGAAAAATTAAGACAAGTTATTGGAGTATAGAGACTGTTCATGGAGACACGAGAGATATATAGAGTATTCATAAAATGAGCCTCTAATTAAACATAATAAAATTTAATGTTAGAGAGATTCTTGGAATTGCTCTGAATCTTTCTATATACGTGATGAACCGATAACTGCAACGAAAAGAAAAGGAATCTCAAGTTCACGTCAAGCGGAACTCTTTGCCCTCATGGCCTCATCCGAGGACGAACTGAAAGGAACTCCTACAGTTTGTTCTTTCATTGGCTCACGAGTCACGGGACGTCGATGGACTCAACAAGGTTGGGCTGTCATGTCGCAGACAGCTCCGGTGCGCGAAAACCAATTGCTTGGTCAACTCAAACGTGCTTCACGCCGCCTATATATAGCACTCTACTGGATGGGTTCATGTCATTACTACTTACTTAGAGTACACTGCTAATACACTGTGTGTACTAGTGGAAGCAACAAAACAAATGTACTACAGTTGTCATTCATGACAAATCAAAATTAACAACTTCTTTGTTTGTTTCCCTGAAAAAAAATATTTTCTCTGTCCTAAATAATAAGACGTTTTTGGCATGTTTACATTCATAACTTTTACTATGTATCTAGACGCAACATTTATCTAGAAGCGTAATAAAAGCTATGAATCTAGAAAAGTCAAACCGTTTTATAATTTAGAACGGAGAGAGTACTCGTTTGTTATATACTTTCTCATATGTCAATAAAAAATTAACTTTAAAGTTGTTCTAAATTAAACTTTCTTATTGACTAATTTTATACAATTGCACTACTAGAAGCAACAAAACAAAATAACAACTTATCATTTGTTTCCCTCACAAAAAAAAGAACCACTCGTTTGTCAGTGTAGTTTGAGCTAGCTAGCTTTGTTTAGAACAGTAAACTCATGATGAGACCTAAACATATATCATCCCCAGTTCCAAATCAGACATCTTTTTTGACTTTTTTAGATACATAACTTTGCTATGCACCTAATACATGATATGTGTCTAGATACATAATGAAAGTTGTGTGTCAAAAAAAATGACTTATAAATGAAAATAATAATGGAGAGAGTATTATGTAATATAGTACAGGAAATGAGGTGCATATGCATGCGTACCTCTCCTTGCGCTTCTGGAAGAAGCGCTGCAAAGATCTCTTGCTTGCCATGGGCATCGTCTCTGCGTGCGCAACAGAACAAGAAAGGCTATTATTCCCTTGCCCTTTCCATTTCCCAAAGCATGCACATGTACTATATGACATAGTGACATGCACTAGACTTTACATAAGTGCAAAAAGAAAAGTAGTAATCGTGGAATATATAATCCATGCATCTTCACTAAATAAAATACAGGCTGCCTAAAAATCTGACCGCAGGTTTATTATTTGGAGGCTACAAAGAAAATTGTAGATAGTTGTATGTAAACAGCTAGCTAGAGTTGATTAATAATAATCGTCTACTACTATTACCTTGTCTCAACTTGGCGAGCAACTCCTCGCCGTGGTTTGGCCGCCGGTGGCGGCGGCCGTCGTCTCCGCCGTCCTCATCACCCGCCGCCATCTTCATGAGAGCCTCCGCCTGTCGCCATTGCCGGATGCATGCACACGCCAAGGCAAGAGAGAAAGCGAGGCAAGACTGGTCGACCGTACACACAGAACGAAAGCCATCGGGATGCATGGACCTTATCTTGCGGGAGATGGAACACGGCGACGCCGCCGTTGTAGAACATGGTCAGAGGCTTCGTCGTCGTCGTCGTCGGGGCGCTGGCGGTGGCGCCGCCGCCGTTGGTGAGGTCGCCGGAGGAGCTGGCCATCTTCGTCGTGAGCAGCGGCCGGCGGCGAGGATCGGATCCCACGCACGACGACGACGACTTGCCGGCGGTACACGCCAAGGCTGCACGGTGGTTGGAGATGTATAGGGATGGATCGATATGCATGGGCAAACACACACACACAGCACTACAGCAGAGAGAGACGCAAAAAATGAGACGAGCAATATATAATCAGATGAGGTGAGGAGGAGGATGCTTAATTTGAGCCCGACCGACGTGATGACACACAGAGAGGCAAATCGGCAGCAGCTATACAGGAGCCGGCCGGCCGATCGAGCTGATGGAGATATCAGATAGGGGATATGATATGCCTGCCTGTGTGTATGGTGAGGACGAGGAGTTGGAGTCGGGAGCACCTGCCCGTTGGAGGGCAGGCACAAACAACGACACAGAGAGGAAGGAGTCAAGGAGACGAGGCCTGCTGTGAATGAATGAATGAATACTCTAGCTAGATACCAAACAGAGATAGAGATAGAGAAATCGTTTTCAGCTAGACTAGAGAGGTGCTGGCAATGGCATGCTGTGCACGTCTAGGAGACAATTCATCTCACCCACTCTACAGTGGAGTGATAATAGTATATCTCCTCGATCTGGTCGCCACCAATTCCTGCTCCTACCTTATTTTACACGAGCTCATTGACATTATAATAAAATTGTTCGAAGGCCGTGTTCGGCTGGCTGATCACCGGCTGGTCATCCGTCTTATAAAAATACTATTCACATTCTGTCGGAACAGTATTTTTCTCTTACAACAATAAACCGAAATAGTATTTTTCAGTCCTGTCGGCAGCCGGCAATCAATCAGCCAGCCAGCCGAACACGGCCTTGGAACAAATTTATTACAATGTCAATGAGCACGTGTAAAATAAGGTAGGAGCAGGAATTGGTGGCGACCAGATCGAGGAGATATACTATTATCACTGTGTCGCTATCGGATTTTATTAGCCACGGAACCAACAGGCTATTATGTTGGCTGCTGTTGAATTTGGATCAAGTGAGGGGTACATTATTGTCTTTATACTCCATCAGAGAAATACTAGAAAAAATTTGGGATTTGAATTGTGATAATCAACAGAGGATTTTTCTACTACTGTGGTGCTGGTGGTCTGCACGCAACAAAGTGGGGAACGAAGCAAGAGCACCCAAGAAGTTGTTAATGATGTGTTTTATCATCTGAAAGCATGGAGTTTAGTGCTAACACGTGCGTGCCTTCACGGGGTGAGTGTGTGTGCATTGTGAGCGTCTTCGTTGTATTGTGTAATCTCAAAAAAAAAAAGAATGATCCATTACACAAACAATCTGCCATGTCAAGGTGGAAGGTACCCCCAAATAAATTGTGCATGAGACTAACCAAGGAGGATGGCGATTTAAGTTGTATGCCATGCGATTTTAGTGTGCCTTCGATTTGAATTAGAGACCATAAGATTGAGCATTAGATTTGAGGGTCCCTTATACAAGTGTTTGTTATAATAGATTTGAGGGCGAGTGCTGGGTAGAAAATCAAGATAAAAATGAGGGGAGCTCTCAAAATCAAAAGTAGTGGTTGTAATTTGAGGGCACCTGCTAGAGTTGCTTTAATAGTGGGTACTCAAGGCGTCTCCAATAATATGGGCTAGCACTAGGTCTAAAGTGATAAATACTACTACATGCCATGAGAGAGATATGCATCGTAAAGCGTGCAAGACTATATCTTCGCTACACGCTAGTCTCTTTTGTTTTTTTGTACTATTTAGCGAGAAAATTGATTCAACTAACTCTGAGCTAGATCACTAAAGACGTCCTCATGTTAATATTTGTGGATAGATTTTAAACGACATAAGTTGTGAATGGATGGAATAACATGTACTAATACATGACCAACAAGATGGAATCCATATATACATTCCTCATCTTAATATTTGTGGATAGATTTTAAACGACATAAGTTGTGAATGGATGGAATAACATGTACTAATACATGACCAACAAGATGGAATCCATATATACATTCCTCATCTTAATATTTGTGGATAGATTTTAAATGACATAAGTTGTGAATGGATGGAATAACATGTACTAATACATGACCAACAAGATGGAATCCATATATACATTACTGAGTGGTAACTAAACCAAGCGGGCCTCCATATGCATTTCTAATTGGTAACTAAAAAAAAGTAGTCCCTTCATCATTGAGCTGGCTGCCCACTACCATCAGCCGCTGGTGATCAAGGCCCATACAGCCTGCAGAAACGAAACAACATGCTTAAATGAACTTCAGCAGTTCAGCGACACAACTAAAATCATATTTTTTCAGGAATTTTTTTTGAACGAAAACTGTGGAGCAGAGCTCCCCAGCGCTTGCATTAAAACATAACAGAGCCAAACAACATTACAACAGGTTAGCCAAAAGCTAACTGAGGGCTACAACATTCTTCCAGGAATTGATACAGTATACTCACTCCGTCCCAAAATATGTGATATTTTAGTTTTTGTCCTAAGTCAAACTATTTCAAGTTTGATCAAATTTATACAAAAAGTACTAATATTTATGATACCAAATAAGTATTTTTAGATTTATCATGAAGTATATTTTCATATCCTACCTCTTCGGTGTCATAAATAATAATGTTTTTGTCTATAGATACGGTTAAACTTGAAATGGTTTGACTTAGGACAAACCTATAACATCGTTTATTTTGGGATGGACGGAGTACTAGTTTTACCACATGTTAGTTACAATCCCCTAACTGCATCGGGGTCAAAACATGTAAATTATGTTTTTGCAACATGTACTCACAGAAATAACGGAGTATACATGGTAGCTTAGACTTCCTACACTGACATTTTTCTTTTTCTTTTTTGAAAATGTCCTATACTGATACTTGACCTATGAACACAGTGTACCAGCAGGAATTGATGACGACAAACCACCGCAATGTCTTGTTGGTGTAGGCACATGATAAGAGCATCTTCAAGAGACATGACACTTTATCACCAAATTTAGAAAATAAAACAAAAAAACCACCCTTCTTGCTCTCTGTTAATGGAGAGGCTACATCGCTCTCTGAATTCATATATGTTATAAGGGATATTTGAATCACCTAAACTAAATTTTAGTTGTGGTTTTGGATAAAATAGAATGACTAAATATGAACTAATTATGGACTACTAATAAGAACTAAAAGAGGCTAATTGATGGCTAGAACTCATTAGACTTTTTTTATTAGTCTATATGCCTATTATCTCATGACGGACTAAACTTTAGTCCGGTGATGCAAACACGTCCTTAGTTCTCTCATGATTTTTTTTACACAAGAAAAATTATGACAAGTTATTGGAGCATAGAGACTGTTCATGGAGACACGAGAGATATATAAAGAGTATTCATAAAATGAGCCTCTAATTAAACATAATAAAATTTAATGTTAGAGAGATTCTTGGAATTGCTCTGAATCTTTCTATATACGTGCTGAACCGATAACTGCAACGAAAAGAAAAGGAATCTCAAGTTCACGTCAAGCGGAACTCTTTGCCCTGGCCTCATCCGAGGACGAACTGAAAGGAACTCCCACAGTTTGTTCTTTCATTGGCTGACGAGTCACGGGACGTCGACAAGGTTGGGTTGTCATGTTGCAGTCAGCTCCGGTGCGCGAAAACCAATTGCTTGGTCAACTCAAACGTGCTTCACGCCGCCTATATATAGCACTCTACTGGATGGGTTCATGTCATTACTACTTACTTAGAGTACACTGTGTGTACTAGTGGAAGCAACAAAACAAATGTACGACAGTTGTCATGCATGACAAATCAAAATTGACAACTTCTTTGTTTGTTTCCTTGGAAAAAAATACTTCCTCTGTCCTAAATAATAAGACGTTTTGGCATGTTTACATTCATAACTTTTCACTATGTATCTAGACGCAACATTTATCTAGAAGCGTAATAAAAGCTATGAATCTAGAAAAGTCAAACCGTCTTATAATTTGGAATGGAGGGAGTACTCGTTTGTTATATATACTTTCTCATATGTCAATAAAAAAATAACTTTAAACTTGTTCTAAATTAAACTTTCTTATTGACTAATTTTATACAATTGCACCACTGGAAGCAACAAAACAAAATAACAGCTTATCATTTGTTTCCCTCACAAAAAAAAAGAACCACTCGTTTGTCAGTGTAGTTTGAGCTAGCTAGCTTTGTTTAGAACAGTAAACTCATGATGAGACCTAAATATATATCATCCCCAGTTCCAAATTAGACATCTTTTTTGATTTTTCTAGATACATAACTTTACTATGCACCTAATACACGATATGTGTCTAGATACATAATGAAAGTTGTGTGTCCAAAAAAAACAACTTATAAATGAAAATAATAATGGAGAGAGTATTATGTAATATAGTACAGGAAATGAGGTGCATATGCATGCGTACCTCTCCTTGCGCTTCTGGAAGAAGCGCTGCAAAGATCTCTTGCTTGCCATGGGCATCGTCTCTGCGTGCGCAACAGAACAAGAAAGGCTATTATTCCCTTGCCCTTTTCATTTCCCAAAGCATGCACATGTACTATATGACATAGTGACATGCACTAGACTTTACATAAGTGCAAAAAGAAAAGTAGTAATCGTGGAATATATAATCCATGCATCTTCACTAAATAAAATACAGGCTGCCTAAAAATCTGACCGCAGGTTTATTATTTGGAGGCTACAAAGAAAATTGTAGATAGTTGTATGTAAACAGCTAGCTAGAGTTGATTAATAATAATCGTCTACTACTATTACCTTGTCTCAACTTGGCGAGCAACTCCTCGCCGTGGTTTGGCCACCGGTGGCGGCGGCCGTCGTCTCCGCCGTCCTCTTCACCCGCCGCCATCTTCATGAGAGCCTCCGCCTGTCGCCATTGCCGGATGCATGCACACGCCAAGGCATGAGAGAAAGCGAGGCAAGACTGGTCGACCGTACACACAGAACGAAAGCCATCGGGATGCATGGACCTTAT